GGGGCGGGTTAAGAGCGCCAGTGACTTAGGACGGATTAAGGCACAACTCCCCGAGATGTTAGTCGGAACTTGTTTTGCATGACCACCACACAAAAGGAGAATATAACAGAGATGACGAAATTTAAGTAACAGTACACACACAGAGAGCCAAATAAACAAGATATCAAATGAATCACAACATATTGATTAAAAAAAACGCACATGTGCTCCACCACTGGAGTGCGAGTAATGAAAAACAGAAAGTACGTTACAAATCTTAAATACGACCTGACAAAACTATTTTTCGAGATAACCTCGCGAAACGTCTACCATGGAATACGCCCGAAGTATTTACAGATATTTTGCGCCTAAATATTGAACTTATCTGTAGGTCTTCTCTGTCAGGCGCGGCCGGGATGTCCTCGAATTTGGTTAGAAAAGTGGCCAGTAGTGCTTGCCTCGGTCCCAAAAATTATGTTGGTAACACAAAAAAAAACCTAGAGACAGAAAGACTGTTTAAAAATCTACTCGACTCTCTGTCTGAGATAAAACTACTCATTGAAAACAATCGCACTTGAAGCAAAACCATGTACATTTTTTTCGTATAAGAAAAGTAAAGCAAAGGCAAAAAAAGATAAAAATGTACTAAACTAATATACCCTTGTTCTAAAAAGTTATGGCAGCTCAAAAATCAAAATCATGATCAATGTAATAGGTGCCATGTGGGCACTGCCCCCATATTTGAAGACGTAGACTGTCTAATAAAATCAAGAAGTCTCTAAGAATCTCAATAAGCAATAATAAATGTATAAAGATCTATGAAATTGTTAATTAGAATGATATTTTACCTGTTCACATCAGGGTTTTTCCAAGGGGATGGCTTCCAATTTGCAAAACTGCAACGATGCAACTGACTGGACGAGAAAAGACGATGATTTTCTTCTGTTTCTATTAACAAAAAGAAAGCAGATATTGAACGAACGTCATCAGGACACGCATTAAGGCACGCGGTCCGAAGGTATATAAAAAAAGAACTTACCGCTGAGGGTCAAAATCTCATAAAAAATGGAAGGCGTAGCACCCAAGCCAAAATAACTAAACTTAAGTTACACAACAAAAAGAAAAGGGTGCTAGTCCATGAATGGGCGCTTGGGGCCTAATATCCCAGAGTCCGGAAAGCGACAAAACGACCCCTGCACCACGACCTCAACGGAAACTGAAAAGCGAATCACGCAGAATACGCAACGTTCTAGAGGAAGGAATCTTGAGTGGCCTAGAAGAAGATATGCTTTATAGGAAACCAGGTAACGGAGAAAAGAGCTCAGTACTGTACCTTGACGAACAAAAAGCATCCCAGTGCTCATCCGGTTTCAATGGATGGCCCAGTTGTGCCAAAGAGCCATTAATGTCGGCTAGTCGGAGTCCAGATCATCGAGAACCTGATCTGGCACGAACACGTCTCGTCAATAGCGGCAGCTGCTGGGAAAAAGCTAGGCTATTTGTTTAGGGCTAAGAAGTACTTCTCTGCGCATGACCTCTTCACTCTATACAAGGCCCAGATAAGGTCTAGCATCAAGTGCTTACACGTTTGGGGGTGCTGCCGCCCCGTCTACATTATTTATGCTCGATGCTGACCAGAGGAGGGCTGTCCGACTGATCGATGACTCTTCAGTAACAGATGGTCTCGGGACCCTTTCGCACCGGTGGGCCGTCGGCGATCTAGCTCTTTTCTATCGCTACATCAACGGGCTTTGCTCCTCAGAGCTCTCTTCAATGATGCCGTCGCGCTATGTGCCTGCCAGATAGACCCGCCTTACTCTGGCCTCCCATCCTAATCATGTTGAACTTCGTACATCCAGAATTGGCCGATTCGACCGCTCATTTGTCCCGAGGGTGTCGAGATTGTGGAATAATCTCCAAGAGGATGCTTTTCTCAGTTCTACTACTTAGGCAGTTCGAAAATCGGATTAACAAAAATTCTTTTGGATCATCATAGCGGCCGCGGTGTCCCGGAATTTAGGCTTCTGCCTGCGCGCCTGCTTCGGTATAAAAAAAAGGTCCGAGTCCGCCAGATGGTACCAGGAGAAAACGAGTTCGAAGAGTTCGTCAAGCGCGTTGTTAAGGAACTTGATGGTGAATGTTGCCGGAATAACATCAAGTTGGAATGATGGAAATGTGGAAAAATAGGGCACGTTAGGAGACGCTGCTTAGAAGATGGTAAGCATTGCCAGCGGGCAGAGGAGAAAGATGCCCAAGTATGAAGAACCACAAATAAAGACCTCATTAAAGACCAAGAAGGCGACTCCGATCTCCGAATAATTCTGAACTGGATGAAAGAACAACGGAAACCAGCCTGTGAGGAAGTTGCTAGATATTCCCCTGCCATAAAATCATATTGGACACAATGGAAATCTCTAGCTATGGACGACGGACTCTTACTGCGTCCAATGGTAGAACACGATGGCAAAGAAGAAAGAAGGCAAATCGTTATCCCCAGATGTCGGATCCCGGAGCTGCTAGCCGAAATCCATTCCGGTGTGTCATGAGGTCATCTCGGAGTTACAAAAACCCTGGGAAAAGAAAAGAAGGACGCTAAAGACTGGTGCAGAAAATGCGTTGTGTGTGCGGCAATACAACGTGGAGAGTCGCTTTGAACGGATTGCTATTGATGTGGCGGGACCCTTTCCAGAAAGTGAAGCAGGGAATAAATACATAATTGTAGTAATGGATTCCTTCAGCAAGTGGGTTGAGGCATGCCCTCTGCCAAATCAGGAAGCCTCTACGGCAGCCGATATGATGAGTAAAGGAATGGATCTGTCGATTTGGTGTACCTTTAGAGTTGCATTCGGATCAAGGGCGCAATTTCGAGTCAAATCTGTTCCAAAGTATCTGTCAAATCCTTGGGATTAAGAAGACCAGGACTATTGCCTTGCACCCGCAGTCAGATGGAATGGTGGAGCGCATGAATAGGACCATTAACCGGTATCTGGCTAAGGTAGTCTCTAGCCCTCAAAGAGACTGGGATAGTTTTCTTCACCTCTTCTTATTGGCTTACCCATCGTCGATTCATGAAAGCACAGGAGCGACCACGGCTCGAATAGTTACGGGAAGAGAACTTCGTCTCCCATGGGATCTAAAGTTTGGATGTCCACCAGGAACTGATATTGCCGGAGAAGACTACGTAAGTGAGCTGCGTAGAACAATGGACGCCATCCATAGCCAGGTTCGTGTTTCAAGGTGCCAGCGACCGGATGAAGGAAGCTTATGACCTTAATGCCAAAGACCAGAGATATGACAACAGTGATATGGTTTAGCTTTACGACCCAAAGAGGCGAAAAGGGTTGTCGCCTAAACTTCAATCATCCTGGGACGGGCCATATAAAGTTCTGGAAGCCATCAATGATGTTCTCTACAGGATTCAGAACGTGTGACACACTGTGTGGCTCAAGACTTGCGGATGTCGAGAGGTATAGCAAAGGTCTTTCTTACGAAGTTTGGAAGAGTGTAAGAGCTGCGACAATCTATCCCGGAAGTAGGAGAAGCACTCCAGACAACTGAAGAGGGTAAAACCGAAAGATCTTCTATCTGGTTACCAAGAAAGGTTCGTATCGGAAACCGAATTACGAGGATGTCTGGAACGCTTTGTGTTCTCTTAGAGAAGTGTTGCTTGCCGAGGGCCTGAGAAAACTGGCAATACCTAAGCTCGCATGTGGACTGGACAACCTGGACTGGAGAATCATCCGAAGCATGCTTGAAGTAGTCTTCCGGTATACAGGCATTCGATTTCTGGTATGTTGTCACAGTCCTTGACGGCTACCTCCTGGAAAGAGTGTGGATTGTTACTTCTTCAAGAACTCATACTGCAAGAAAAGGCAGTCGTGCCGATATCGACATCCACCGCCAGTAAGATCATTCCAGAACGAAATGACTTTAGGGAGAGGACAGTGAAACAAGAATGAATAGTACCGTTGGCGCCATCTGTTGGGGACCGCGCCAGAGTTTCCTACTCGCCAGCTTCGTGGCCGATCTCTGTTGGGGACCGTGCCAGGGACTCTTTTTCAGTGGCGACATCTGTCGAGGACCGTGCCAGTGACTCGCCTTCTAGATCGACGCGAAGTGACCTCGAATATTCTAGACTTCCGCTTTGTGACTCGCCGGACGCTTCTCGAATCAGCGATGCGGATTATATAGTTCGACGGCCAGGAGATGGAAGCAGAGTAGAGTAGAGCAGAGTAGAGTATAGTTCAGTCAATGGCACGATATAAGAATTAGTCAGACATAAATAGTGGTGTACATAAATGTTCTATCTAGGCAAGTTAAATAAATTAGTGCATTTCTTTTCGTGGAATCCAGTGTTTTAATCCACACCCAAGAGAACCCAGAAAAACGCTTCAAAAGTAATAATAACCTTTGTGATATATTTTTCAATTGTAAAACACTTGTGATTGTGTGCAGGAATACTTATGTATGCGTACTCCAATAAGCTCGTTTTCCTTTTATAAATTTTAAACGAATCAGTCTTGTCTGGATTTGTGGTTGCCTCTTCGTACATCGGTACTTTAAAGTAGTCATTGTTCAGAAATCTGTTTGCATATACAAAAATAAAGTATTCCATCGTTTTCCAAAAGATGAAAAAATTGTTGCTGCGGAAGGCGGAAGGCTGCTTGCGAGATATCTCCCACTCGTAAAATTTCCAATTATTATGTTTGTGAGGATTATTTCTCAATGTTTGATCGTAATGTAGCGTTTTTATGGGTTCTTTTGGGTGTGGATTAAAACACTGGATTCCACAAAAAGAAATGCACTACTTTATTTAACTTGATAAAACATTTATATACACCACTATTTATGTCTGACTAATTCCTGTGTCGCCATTGACTGCACTATACTCCACTTCGCTCTGCTACTCTACCGTATTCAGTACTCTGCTTCCATCTCCCGGCCGCCGAGTTATGGGTTTTTTCAAATTGAGTTTCCACATTACAAATATTTTTTTTTTGAAACGCCACTCAATTTGTCAACGACAACGTGCCATTTCTAACATCAAAATATAAACAAAACCGTCATGGAGCAATTTACGACCGAACAACGTGTGAAAATAATCCAAGCCTATAATGAAAACGGCCGATCAAGGAAGAATACATTTCGTGCTTTACGTGAATTTTTTGGCGCTCAAAATCGGCCTTGTGAGAGGACAATTTGGAATTTGGTGCGAAAATTCAAGCAAACTGGATCCATCGCCATCATCAAAACCCCTAGGCATGCTCGTACAGGCTGGTCGGAACACAATATTGCTATTGTTGCCGAAAATCCAAGAACATCGATTTATCATCGATCGCATCAACTGGATCTTACCTATTCCACTACACAGAGGATTTTAACAATAGATTTGAAGTTACACCCATAATACCACAGGAATTGAAGCCCAGGTCACACATCAGGAAGAACGATACAATTACTGCGCGGCAAGTTTCCAGGTCGCGTTAATTCACGTAACGGCGATATCAATTGGCCGCCGCGACCCTGTCATTTTACTCCCTTTTTTTTTCTTTGGGGGTATCTCAAGAGCAAAGTCTACAAGAATAACCCGAACACAATTAATTGCGGAGCCGGTAGCTGGTAAGGGGCGGCGGGGTAAGGGGTGGAGGTGTCGTAAGTTCCGAGTCCTCTCAATGACCATCCTCATACCTTCGAAAACGTGTCGTTTAATAGAAATTTGATGCCCTGAAGTTTCCCCCTCCTCCTCGACCGCACAGCCATCGCGACTGAAAGCAAAATATCGGAATATCCCCCGGCCGCAGGCCATTTCTTAATAGGACAAGACAAAGTGGTCTTAACATGCATATTTTTTTTTAAACCTTATTTAATCCTGTATGGGAAGAAGCCTTTTTTGTAAATACTGATGGAAAGCGCAATGTTTAATTAGTCACATCATAGTTAACGTTAAGTCATCGAGTATTCACCGACATTATGTAGACAAACATTCTACCGATTATGATGACATTGCTGGCGATGAAAGATGAGTGCGGATTGATGAATTGAGATCACCCCTTCAATGTTCTGAAGAGGAAATCATAGTCAGATGTGTTCATAGAGGCGATACTCAGAATTCGCGGATTCGACTAGACTCGATAATAATATGTATTCTTTAAGTAAATGAATAAAAGGGCTTGATATTCTTGGGGTGGGTCCTGCTGGAAGTACCTCTTATACCGACTTGAAGATACAACGTGACGGTAGGATTCTACGATAACTTATACGTATGTCATATTCATTTTACATATACTTTCAAACATCTAGTATCCATATGTCGTACTGACAAACTCGAATGAGCTTTTGAATGCAAACATAAAGCATACAAACAGGGATAATATTTTTATCTATACCTATTTGCATTGACTGCTCTAGCTTTCAGTTGGTACGATAGGAGCTTCTGGCGGAAATAAGTTTTACATTTCAAGTTTTATCAAATGAGCCTAAAATTTCATTTAAACGTATGTAGACTTCATTGGATTCCACCAAGACGGTGACATTCTTATTTCACGCTTTATCTTCAAGTCGGTATGATAGGTACTTTCGATAGGATGCGCCCCGTCGTACCGTGCTCTTCTTGTTCATTTACTTAAAAACTACATATTATTAGTAAATTTAGTCGAATCCGCGATGAAGGTAGATTCAGTGTGACCAGCTCCCGCACCATTTCTATTGGCCGAGCACTACGGCTACCATAAAACCTTTATCGCATTGTCCGATGTGTATGCTGCTGCCCCACTAAGCAGGCCATCAGTCAGACAGGTATAAACGCTTTCATAGAAAGTATAATGTTAATGGAATCGGACACCCAAAATACCGAGCGACAATTGACGCTGGAAATGGTCCCGGGCTTGACGCTGCCCTTGTCGCACCCAAGTTGGAGAGGCCTGTGTTAAGCCATTGTTGTCCTCTCAATGACCATACCAATTGAAAAAACCTCTCTGCGCTTCGACCGCTATCAGCAACGTGTCGGATAATAGAAATGAATCGATGGAGGATATGGTTGAATGTTCAATGAATTTGTCACACCAAATTATAACCAGAACAATGAATTCAATATACAGATGCAGCTGTCTGAGAATGACTATAAGAGAATAATCGAAGTAGGTGGGCGGATATTGAGAAAGATACACACTTTTAAAAGCAAACTACATGATGTGTACACCAAGGTGAAAAATAAGGTTGCTCTAGCACATCGTGATGATAAAAGGTTTATTATTCCTAACACCACAAAAACTTTACCTTGGGGACACTCTGACATTGAGTTTTACCAGACTGACCCCTCGTTGAATGTTAAATTTGCTATAGGTGCAGTCAATTATCAAGCTTGTACAGGTAAATAAAATCAACATGTATTAAGAAAATGAGTTTTATTTCATACTTACAAAAAATTTAGACCCATCAAAAGCATTGTAACTGAAGCATGAGTCATGAATAATTAATGCATACACCTTGGTGTGGAATGGAAATGCAGATTTCCTGGTCTCAATTTCCAAAGATATGTAGACAGTTGAAAGTTGGAGATGATCAGGCTGATGACTGCAATCAATAACGAAAAGCGGATTGTCATTAAATTCTTTAATATCCATCATGGGTTCAGGAATATTCTGGTTGTAGTATGTTTTTTGAAAGTTCTCAAATGCATAATAAGCTGCGGTGTTGAGCTTTTTTTCGAAATTCAAGTTCCACCTTTCATATGGGAATACTTGGTTGTTCAACTTCAAGCGAATCGAGTTAACGTTGGCATTTATGAATTTCGTTATATCCATCGAATGATTTTCTTCAACTGTAGAATCTTGAAATCCAACGATAACGAATAGAGGTCTCTCTAGTTTACTAGTTGTTCTAATTGCCCAAGCATCCGATGATGTAGAACGAAGAGATGGAAGCTCATAGAGATCCCAAGATCGAAATGCTACCTTGATCCTTGAGCTCACATGTTTATTCAACCTTTGCAGAAGCTCGACTTTGTAACGATCTTCCGGAACGATGTGTTGAACCTTCCATTCAATCTTGGATATAGTCAATTCAGCATCACATTCACCCACATAACAGTTTTTGAAGGATCTTGCAATAACCAACAGAAGCTCATGTTTTATATTTAGAACCCCTTTTTTGTAGTCTTCTGCGAATCCGATTATATGTTTTAGGGGTATCCTACCACTAAAAACTTTGCTTTTGACATCCCATATAGCCGAGTTCTCGGCACTTAAGGTCCAACCACTACATAAAAGTGTATGCATAGCACTTTTACCATGTGACACCATCGTTTTTATAGTTGAAGTTATCCCTGGATAAACTTTTTCGCCACCAATCTGTAGGGAAATTTCTTGAAATAAAAAGGCCAATGCATTGTTTTATAAATAGCAGGGTTTCGTAGCGTTACTAGGCGGAAATGTTCCGTCAACGTAAATATAACTGTCAGCAATGTTTTAAATAAGATCTTGGAAGTTTATAGGGATGTGAACTATATCTGAATTCTTGAAATATAGCGATCCATATGGTTTGTATGTGTATTCTTGTAGGCTGGCTAAGGAATGATCTATGATGGGTTCCTCAAAAACATCAAATTTCTCATTTGATACGTGTAGAACCATATTGTTTGATTAGTTTCAGCCCTGTAGACTCCAGAAACTTGCGATTTTGCAGTGAAATATTCGATGCTGTGTCTGTGACGATGGTTGAACGACGAATAATGGAATTTCCATTGGTTCTTCGTCTTTTATGATTAGTTTTTGTTTTTCTACATTCTTCAAATGATATATATCTAGGTTATATAGAAATCCCATTGTCTTCAGCTGGCACTAACAGGCGTCGCAGTTCTAATTTGACTATAATTGTTTCACCACGGAAATTGACCAAATTCCCGACGTCATCCAAAATTTCCAGTGTGATGTTATCAATAAACTGGCGTCCACGCGGTTTAACGCTCATATATATTACATTATACGGCTCCTTTGTTAATTTAAATCCCAGTTCAACGTCTATATCAAACACATACAAAGCGTGCATTTCATTGCCATTGCAATAAGCTCCTGATATTAATCCACAGTCGACTCTTATTACCCTGATGGGAGTTATGTTTACAGGTAAATTCGATGTGTAGATTTTGTTTCTGTGAAAAATTTTGTTCTTTAATCCAAGCATAGTTGCCATGGAATTGGACAGAGTAATATCGAATACAGAATGGAGTTCACACTTCAAAGTATTAGTGTTGGCTTTCAAAGAGAAAATTTCATCAACTTTGTTTTCATATCTCTCTTTATATGTATCATTCATTGATATTATTTCATGTTGTATGTATTTATTGATATCTTCGATTTCATAAACACCTTCAGGAAGGGTTACCACATTACTCTCGTCACCCTCGTGAGCAAAAGATATTTTATTATGTTGATCATCAATATTGTATATGGTGTTGTATGAATAAAAGCCAATCAACCCCAGACCATATTCCGCACTTATATCCAACTCGATTGGTGGATAAAAATTAGCATACAGTTTGCTAGTGTAACCCGTTAGAGTAAATGTGTTAGACATGACTGAAGAGTTGATGAATGAAAACATGGTCTTATATAGGTAAACAAATATTTATTGGTTACAACAGTTGTTTGATTCAGATGTATTTTTAACATTGATATCTTGCATGTTACAATAACAACAAAATATTTTTCTTGGTGGCGGTCCATCTGCTTCATCATCACTCCTGCATATTCCATGATGTTCCCAGCAGAGTTGGAATCGCTGTATATCAGCGTCCTCCTTCAAATGCTCCGGCAGTTTGTTCCATACATGTGCTATTTCATTTGGCGTGCAGCATATGAGTACCTCTTTCGGTATGTGTGTAAGTTCATCTCGCGTCATATTCAACAGGCTTCTCTCCCTTGAAAGGGCTTTAAGAGAGTCTCTAATCTTTTTCAACCGCTCGTGATCCATTGTCTTCAGCGCTCTAATGTTTCTTCAGATAGAAATCGCCGGCACAAATGACCACACCAAAACGTATTGAACTGTTGTTGTCGATTATAATTTTACAAGATTTTTATCTTTTTCGACTTGTTGGTCAAATATTTGATTAGCTCCTTGGGTGGGGGTAGATTGCCGAAACTATCATAGTACCATATACAACCATCCCACGTTTTATATATGAAACCTAATGTGAGCCATCCCCACTCTTGTTATCTAAATTAATTAGATCTATATTTGTTAGCGGTCGAGGGGGGAGGGTTTTATTATAATAGTTTTTTGAATTCCTTAACTTGATGAATAACCCCAATCCTTTACGGTATGGTTTCAGAAAGAGACCATCCCCAATTCGATTCACATTAGAAGAAGGTGGCGAAATGCTTTTATTTTGAATTTGCTCACGCACTGAACTAGCTGTTTTAGCAGCTCTTGTTATGTTGGCAATACCCCCCAGCGACTACCTAATGCTGAAAGACCGGCAAAAATTGGTATCAAAGGAAGGATGCTTCGAACCTTGGGAAAAGGTAAACTCGTGGAAGCTGAATCAGCCGTTTTCCACCGATGGATCTGATATGCTTCCGGGCAGCAAGTAATGCAGCGGAAGTCGCCTTTGTTTTAACTCTCTTGTCTGGTTTACAGTTTGAGAACCTTTTCTTGAGTTTGCATACTTTATTCACTATCCCCGATCCAAAATGTACGTTTTTCTGTGATCTACTTGTTTTTCTAGGGATAGCTGTCCTTCCTTTAGGTCCACACCATGATGCATGTCCACCCATACCTATACGACGTTTGACTTTCATAATAGAGGATGTTCTGCGGATGTATTTTCTTCTACTCCTTCCACGACATGATGCTAGACCCATTCCTGCGTGACGTTTTACTTTCATGATATTAGTAACTAACCAAGCGGCAGCTTCTCCAAGTTTTGGAGCTTTTGGAGTGCTTTGACACCTTCTAATGCGAAGTAGTGGCATTTAAATAAATAAGACATACGCAATTGCAGTTTATATATGCTCAACTCGTTGTACAATGAGGGTCACAAAACAGAAACAAGAATTATGTATCAGCAATATTGATACAAAAGTGGCGGATATACAAAACAATGCTATGCAGCGCCATGGAAGTCTTCTCCCATCCACAATCCGCTGTATTATTGTTGGACCATCGAACTGTGGAAAAACCATCGACTTTAAAACGAGGATAGACCCCTTTGCTTACATTTCTGGTTGTTGACGACATATACAAAGCGAATCGACACGTTGCCTCGCCGCAAGAAACGGCAGCAAAACAACGGATTTGTTCGTGGTCGTTCTACACATTTTCAAACCTCCAGTAACTAAAATTATTTCCTGTTTATGGTGATTTTTCAGCGCATGTGTAGGTACTAAACATCATGATTCTCGTACAATGGATTGATATCAAAATAGTCAAACAAGTAAGAACCTTACTTTATCCACATCGTAAGAAAATAGTATATTGGTAGCACTTATTTAAGTTATTAAACAACTGCCATTTTGTGTCAATTGTCAAAGTTTGTTTTGATAGTGAATTTCCTTGCTGCTTTTATTCATTTTAGAGAGACTATAAAGGTATATTCAATCGCAATAAAATGGTGCAGCAGTGCTATTTGTGTAAAATTTATAAACATCAGGCTGGAGCGGAATCTTTAAAATTTCATTCGTAAGTATACATCTTGTTTATGTTCAGAGGCGTATCATGGCGTCTCATTATCGAGAAACTTGTTGATAGCTTTCGATTTATAACTGTAATATTCGAAATTCTAGCCTTCCCAAGAACCCGGAAAGGAGAAAAAGGTGGTTGTCGGCCCTTGGATTCGAGGAAAACCATCAATTTCCTAAGAGGGTGGAGCTATGTTCCAAGCATTTTGGAGAAAATGCGTTTGTTTATGGAAGTGAGGGACAAAAGACACTCAAGCGGGATGCGATTCCTCTCATCTCTCATTCTTTGTTTGATCCTGCAGTAAGCACCAGGTAAACTCTTAATACATAATAGACTAGTTTTTCTAATACAGTAAACAAAAAAGAATAGTTGTATTTAATAATATTTAACAACCACTCATTTTGATTCTGATTCTATCTGCTGTTTAACTTTTCATATAAGATGTTTCTGATCTAGGTATTTCCTAACTTAACTGTTATGGATTTAGGTAAATTTAGCTATAATTAGTGTTATATTTTGGCAATTTCACAGATAATAGACAGATATAAGACATACTCTATAATCTATCAGCAATCAAGAAGAGCTAACATCGATGAGCTAACATAATATCTGCATCTTATGATCTGAAATAAAGATGATGCTTATATCTTACATTACATTGCTATGAAAACAGTGACAGTACATTTGATTGATTTGGTTTGTTCAAATCACAATGCATTGAACTGAGTTGCTCATACTTTGATTAAAACTATAGTTCCTTTTGATTTTTTGTGTATTTTTTATATATGTGCATTGATTTTTATAACTCATACTATTATTTAGTGTTTAATTTCATGAAGTATTTCTATGCATTAGTATCTCACTATGTAGAAGAAGTCCCTAATTTGGTTTTGTATATATATATATGCTTTATTCTAGTTCAGAATCATCTGTAAGTCCAGAGAAGCAAGAAGACTCAGATTGTAGTACTATATCTGCCATTTCAATCACTTGTGAGGGGACTCCTGCTAAAAAAAAGGTAAGTTTAATTTATATTCTCTATCATGTTATTTTGTAGTATATTGAAATTTCTATGAAATTGAACATTTCTGAAGTCCTACATCCATATGGAAGCATTTTATATTTGCTGAATTGATATCGTAGATGGAAAAAATACCACCATTGTAGGTTCAAGTACAACAAGAAGGTATTCAGGAAATTATCTAGGGTTTTCTAATGATTTAAATAGAGCTTACCTCAAGCTGTACCATAAAAAAGATGATGAAGTTGAAACTCATTCAGTTTGATATATGCCTTAATATAACCCTTACTAAATGTTTGATAAGTCCTAATCAGCAGTATTCTATTCATAGCACTTATTTATTTGTTGTTTACAGGTTATTCATGGATGAAGAGATGTATAACTTTCCTGGCCCATCAAATGAAGAGTAAGGCTTATTAAACATTTGTGCTTTTATACTGTTACATAGGAATTAATTTTCTTCTTTGTAGGCAATATGTCCATACTTCCTCAACATTATCAGCATCAGAAAGTGATAGTGCTGCTAAAACTGCTGGAGTACAAGAACATATGCTTGATAAGAAAAAAAGAAAGAGGTGAGAGAAGTTTATCACTTATTGACTAAATAATATTAAATTGACCTTGGGATGAAAACGTAGCTATTATGTTATGAATTAAGCAATTTATTCTTAATTTATTTAAAATGTTTTAAAGCAGTTTTAGGGTGATTTTTCTTAAATCTGTACATTTCAGGAAAATTCGCTATGTGGGTGATATATCTAGTGAGGATTTTTCCACCCCAAAAAAAGCAAAAAGAAATTTCAGAATTCTTAAATATGCCTTAGAATCCGAGAGGAAAAAAAGACGTGGCCTCCAGACGACCGTAACAGCTTTAAGGAAGAGAATTAAAACATTAAGCAGCCTGTTGAAGCTGCTGAGAAGCAAACATTATACATCAGAATCGTCAGAAAATATGTTAAAGGTAACTAAGATCTGTGTGATCCACAAAGGACTTCAAGCACTAAGCGGAATTATTCATATTTCAGGAATCATTACCAGGGTCTGCTGCTGAAATTTTTGAGCGAATGTTGAAGGGACCTGCAACTCAAAAATACAGTCCAGCTATAAGATCATTTGCTTTAACTTTAGCTTTCTATTCACCAAGAGCTTATAATTTTGTGAGAAATACTTTCAATCGGTCACTTCCTCACATCAATACTATAAGCAAATGGTATCAGTCAATAGATGGTTCACAAGGATTCACAAAAGAGGCATTGAATGCATTAATATTGAAAAAGGAAGAAGCAGCTGCCCAGGGAAAAGAAATTTTTTGCAATTTAGTTTTAGATGAAATGTCAATTAGGAAACAAGTAGAATGGACAGGTACCAAGTTTTGTGGATATGTTGATATAGGCACACATTTCCACTCAGATATTCTCCCAGAGGCAAAATAAGTTCTAGTATTCATGCTAGTATGCATTAATGGGTATTGGAAAATACCAGTAGGATACTTTTTCTTGGATGGCCTTAGTGGTGCTGAAAAAGCCGACGTAGTTAAACACTGCCTTACATTTGTTAACCAGTCAGGAGTAACTGTTACTTCACTAACATTTGACGGCGCCCCTGTTAATTTGACCATGGCATCACGTCTAGGAGCCAATTTTAGTGATCCAAACAGCTGAAAACCTACTTCAATCACCCTATAACTGGCAACAAAGTTTATATATTTTTAGATCCTTGTCACATGATAAAATTAGTCAGAAATACTTTTGGTTCTCAGAAATATTTGACAGATATGTCTGGCAACCAGATTGACTGGAATTTTTTAGTAAAACTGGTTGATATACAAAGTTCTCAGGGATTACACTTAGCTACAAAAATAAGGCCCAGACACCTCCAGTGGGCAAGGGAGAAAATGAAGGTGAAGATTGCGACTCAAACGCTGAGTAAGAGTGTAGCAGATGCGTTGTTATACTTGGGAGAAGACTTAAAATTACCATCTTTCAAAGATATTAAAGCAACGTCTATTTTTGTACAGATGTTTAACGATCTATTCGACGTTTTCAATTCCCGGAACAGATTTGCAAAATATTTGTACAGGAGGCCTTTATCCCCCTCTACCGCCCACACTTTCTTCCAGTTTTTAGATCAAGTAACCATTTATATCTCAAATTTAAAGCTTGCTGACGTTGCAGTTTTAAATTCACCAAGAAAAACTGGATTTTTGGGATTCTTGATTTGTATCCAAAGTCTTAGGGGGTTGTATAGCACCTATGTAGAGAAACTGAAATATATGAAATACATATTGACAAACAAATTATCCCAAGATCATCTTGAATTATTCTTTGGTGCGATTCGGGGTAAAGGAGGCTTCAATAACAGTCCTTCAGCAAGACATTTTGAAGCCGCATATAAACGATTACTTGTACACACGGAGATTTCAGGTCCATCGACGGGAAACATATCTCATTCAGAAAATCTGACAATTTTATCCTGCGGTAGTGGACAACAGGTTACAGTAGATGAACACGGGGAAAATTTATTAAACAGTAAAGAATTCATTGATTTTAAAGATGCTGTGAGTGAAGACATATCAAAATATAGTTTTTCTTCATCTGCTTGGGACTTAACAATATATGCTGAAAAAAAAGTTTTGAAGAAATGTGTCACATGTTCACAGTGCTGCAGTCTTTTGGAGGGTGATATTGTCATTTCTAAACTACAACAAAGAAAACAGTATGGCTCTTTAGTTAATGCCTCAAAAGTTGTAATTGAAATTTGTTCTGCAGCCGAAAAGTACTTCAGATTTTTTCATAAAACTACGAATATATTCAATAAAAACATAAAAAACTTGATAGATATTTTAATACTAAACACACTGAAAACATTATCACCAAAAATATTACAGAATTTTGAAAATCACCTATATGATTACGATCCGCTAGATGGACATGTGATGCGCCTGATAAAACTTATATTGTGTAATTATTTTAATTTAAGAATACACCATGAAGCGACAAAACAACAAGAATTATCAAAAACACTCAAAATAAGAAGCATTTTCACAAAAACTATTTTGTTTAAACATCAGTGAGCTTTATTCAGTCAGTTCACAATGATAGGCCTGTCCAAAAACAATAATATCGAATCCTGCCTATTTGAATTCATTTAGCTGTCAATAAAAACATTCATTATGTACAATTTAAATAGAATTACCGACGCTCGGTTACTCTCAAAAGAAATTTTAATTTATATTACGTTTGCTGCCTCACAATATGAATTGTCTTGTTTTCTTGATTAGGTTGAATCAAAAATTTTAAACAAACACTTTTTCCCCAGAATTTCTCAACAGCTATCAGAGTATCGTAATCGCGAAACATTTCGAAAATTAGATATCATGTTTTCTGTATAATACGATATGGACATCACGAAAAATCATTTCACTCATTTCGTTCGGCCTGTCCTCTATTCCTTGGCTCGTCTAACTATAACTTCACACAAGGTTGCTACTATGGCAAGGACGAAGATCTGTACTTTTTGAAAATCGGTCCAATGGCAATGAATTTAACGGCAAAAAATGAAAAATCAAACAAAAATCGCTTAATTTTCGTTTTGACGTTTAAGTTGAGGAACATAATCCTTTATAAACTAATGACTCTGCACTGACTCAACCTGCTTGATGCCATTTTTTTATTGTCAACTCTGTCAGCCACCAGCTGTTTATTTGTTGTAAATTGGGGCTTCTAGATAATGTACGATAATTGTTTGTTTTGCTTAAGATTTATTTAGCATGATTGCTACAATTACATTCGTCTAAAAAATTAAACAATTACATAACATTATAAACTATTTTCTAGGAATAGGTACCAAAACTATGAGAAGCTCTATAAAAGTAATTTGTTTTTTTTATTGGCAATTTTTGAAATAATGTATTCATAGTGATCCTCAAACTTTAGTTTACTATCAGTATATATACCTAAATATTTAATTGATGCAACATTTTCAATTATTACTCCATTTATCCTAACTGTGATAGTATTTTCATTTAGGTATTTCCCTATTACCATACATTTTGTTTTAGAAGTATTCAATTTTAGTTTATTTACATTTAACCAATTTACGATTTTTGCCAAGTCAGAATTTAGCATTTTTAAAGCAGTGTTTATATTTTCATCTGATATGTATATTAATGTATCATCTGCAAAGATCTGAAGTTTACAATAATCTAAAATATTACAAATGTCATTAATGTATAAAATAAATAGTAGTGGACCTAGTTTACTACCTTGTGGTATACCAAAAGAAATATTCTTTGATATTGATCATGTAGATCCAATTTTGGTTTTTTGACTTCTGTCAATTAAATAGTTTTGTGGAATTTTTAATGCAGATCCTTTAAATCCGTAGTGATGCAATTTTGTAAGTAATTTATCCCTCTCAATAGCCAAACTCCCTTTTGAAGTTCAAAAAACACTGTTACTGTATGTTTCCGATTGTCTATACATCTCCTCCAGTCCTCTAAAACCATTTGTGTCCTGAATCCAGCTTGAAATTTGGTTAAAATGTTACTTCTCTCAATAAATTCGATGATCTGTTCGTAAATAATTTCTTCAAAAACTTTTTCAACATCTGGCAGAACATTTATTGGCTGCATATTGGTGTATTGTAAGTTAATTTTCCATCCTGTAATACATAATACTGCAACATACAGAATGATTGGTTTACAGTTTAATAGGTGGTAAGAAGATTAATAACGTTTGTTTTAGTTTTTAGATAGCCTAGGTTTGTCTTATATTCAAAACTTTGTTCTTATATGACTGCTACTATTTTGGTTATAATTATTATATGTCTATTTAATATGTGTACCCAATATGTTTTCATAGTAACACATAAAAATTATATCAAAAGTGATAAACTGCTCGATATATACATTTCAGATGATACTTAGTGTATTTTTATGAATGAAGATATGAAAATGAGCTATGTGATTATATTAAAACTTATTTGGTGTCTCGATAATCATTCCATGTTCCCTGATTTGTTACATTTTGCAATATATATATATATATATATATATATATATATATATATATATATATATATATATATATATATATATATGTATGAATAAAAATAGAACATAACTTGGAGTTTCTATTTTAAAGGCTTTAGTATCCTGCCCACTCAATAGAGTTCACGTAAGTATTCCAATTGAACTAGATATTGCACAAATATGAGTAATATATTTGTTAGTACACAACTTCGTACCGTTTTTTTTTGTGATGCTCTTGATTTAAATACGCTTATTTTGTCACCCTTATACGTATTGTATGCTACGCCTATGTGTAATTGTACCAATGATTATGAGTCTTCAGTGACGTGAGGTTTCACAACCTGAATTCTCATGCGGCGGCCATTTTATTGTTCCCCTCTCATTCCCTCATAGCCCCTCGCCACCACTTTGTGCTTTGTTTATGTCCTCAACGAATCTAATAGTGATGCAAAGTTTCGTTACTTTTTAGGACTTGTAAGGACTCGTTACTTTCGAACTTTGGACTCGTTAGTTTAGTTACTATTTGGACATTTCGTTTAGAACCTACATTCTATATATTATATCAAATTATTACTTTGGGATTGATCCAATTATTATTTTTTGTCTAATGCCTTGCCTATTAATTTTTTTGATATTTGATACGTAGAAGGTACTTATATTTTAAGCTCGTCGTTGTGTGACGTCTGGTTCGTTGGCTGTACGCTGTAAATAGTATTCAACAAGTGGCATAACCAGATGGGGACCGTGGAGGAACCACTCTCCTCACTCTTTACTTTAGTTGAGTAGCGTCCCCTGCCCTAACAGTCTGGTTACTCCCCTGTCCTACTTAACAGTCTGGTTACTCCACTGTAAATGGTGTTCAACAAAATACTTATAATAATAAAACATACCTGAAACTAAGTTCCTTTTGCACCTAGGCATATTTTCGTCTTCCACCCGCCGTTTTGCCCTTTCTCCTTCCAATGAAAGAGTCGGATGTTTAGTTTTCAAATGCTTCCTTAAATTGCTAATGTTTCCATTTTTATGCGAATAAATATTTTTCCAAAGATCAGACTTTGCATTAGCTTCCGATATTTTGGTGAAATGCATCCAAATAACACTTCTTTTTTGAGTTTGCGATTCTCCTGAACCGGACGCGGATGATTCCATATTTTTGTACAAATAATAATTATATTATTGCTCGAGCTTGTACGGAACGTCCAAACCAGTAACAACCCGCCAACCGCTAGCTCTCAAAGTCAAATGAAAAGTGTACAGGTGTACACAAACATTGCCAACCTAAAGCTCCGCAGTCCGCAACTCGTTTGATAGAAGAGTATCTAAAGTTGTCTAAGCCTAACGATATTCGCATCATTTCATTTCCACCCAGTTTACATCCAAGAACCAAGTCACTTGCTGCTGGCGCTGGCAGTACTGGCTACATTAGATCCCAGTAACGTTTGTATCTAAAGTAATGTATAGTGTAGTAACTAACAGTAATTAAAAAGTATACATAGAAAAAGACCGTATCGCATTCAAAGTAACGAATTCAAATAAAAAGTAACGAGTCTTTTCAAAAAGTAGGACTCGTTACATTTAGTTACTCATTTGTAACGATTATTTTGTAAGCGTTACTTAATTATTTTACATCACTAGAATCTAATGTAGTTTTATGAATGACTTGCTGGGTCTATCCTCGTTTTAAAGTCGATGGACAAAACCATTGCTAAGGCCCGTATCGTCAGTCGTCCCTAAAATTGTAGGGCGCGTTTATGGCCTCCTTGATTGTCATATTGCTTTCTCTCCTTCAAAAATTTCTAGATTACACTTGTCCCGTGTAAGCGTCAGCGCTCTCCTATTGTGAAGATATGTTTTCTTTTTAAATTGTAGGAAATTTCAGGCTAATAAAGCATGATATAACTCAAAAGCAAGCACAATTCGATGCAAATAGATAAAATAGAGTTCTGACACGGAGAAGTAGAAAACTGTGACAATCAAGGAGGCCATAAAGGCGCCCTACAATTGTATGGACGACTGACGATACGGGCCTAAGACTAACCATTTAGCTTCGGACAACACATATAGGGGTTCATTCGATAGGTTTTGAGGCCCTCTATCACTTGACTTCCGTTGATCCACTACTAACTTTACACCCTGTGTGTTCATGAAATATATAGTTTTCAGCAGATTTTAAATTATGAGCAAACGAAATCCCTGGCACATTCCTAGCTTTCCTTATTCCAGGCGCATTCTTAGGCTTAGGCCGCACTACGGTTTTTTCCCGCAAGCGGTAATCCACCAAACCGCAAAACCGACCGAGACTCACACACTACGGTTAAAAACCGCGAACCTGGACACGATTTTTACAGTTTGGAGAAGGATTCCAAGAGAGCTGTATGTGTTGCTCTAATACGAAGAAGCAGAAAAAGAAAACGTCATCAAAAATTTCGCAAATATTGGGTCCATCCATCCACTGACTAGCCGAAGATTTATGAAAGGTCTATTTCATAAAAAGTATCAAGATTTAAGAAAACATCCTGAGAAATTTTTCAACTACTATCGGAATGGAAACGAGGACCAGCGGAAGTTCTGTGCTTTAAGCACAATGGCGTTTATATAAACTACATCACATCCTAACACTTTTGACACTATGTTGCTAGATGTACGAGTACTGGGGAAAGGTAAATACGTAGAAAATTATTGCCCTCCCGTTCTTCAATTTTCAGTCGGTAGCCCCCCCACCCCGTTTTTCCGTCGTCACACGATCACAAGAACATTCGCTCCCAGAAGTTTCCCACCTCAAAATGTCCCACTGGATCCGAATCCTGTGAATAAACTTATATTTTCGTTCAGATTACACGTGTCTAGCAATCCTCCACCTTTACCCCCCATTTTCAATGAATTGCTTATTCTTATTATTTGGTTAACTTTTACTGGCGCTATGGCTGTTCTAATACGGTTCAGTGTTCCCCATGTCGACCACTCACAGTCAGTACCACTGGGCATTTCTTGGATAAGCCGGTAGTTGGTAAGTGGACCGTCTAGTGTCAAGTCCAGGAATCATCTACGGAATTTAAGTTTCTTTGATTTGCATTGAGCTCCGGACAGAGAATGGCGCTCTTCAATAGTTTGTTCAGGCCTTTCTATGAACTCTTACGCCTTTTTTTGAGAGGGGATCATACAGCTTGTTACATTATCTCTGTAATTGATTAACCAAGTATGACATTGAAAAAGGAAAAAAATAGCCTCCAGAGCAAGGAGGTCCCTCTAAGTCATAGTTGCTTTCATCAGAAGGAAGAAATCAGAGGTGTTTGGACCTCCATACCTTCTGGAAAAACAGTTACCACTGTCCTGGGAAGTTAAATACCTGGGGGTAATGCTAGACTCCAAACTAACCTGGAACCCGCAGATCAAACGCTCTCATGGCAAAACATAGGATTAAGCACTTCCATGATGCAGTGGACGTACATAATATTGGTAATGCCCATGATGACTTATGCATCACTGGTTCTTCATGACTCGTTGTTCATGACGGTGTGCGAAAGAATGACAGTACCGCCCGCGGTTGCCGCATCAAATGTGTGCGCGCCAATATAAGTTCTATGAACTACAAATTTTGGCGCGGTTTTATTCCCGCTAGCCATCCTGTAACAAGTGGCGGGAAAAAACCGTCAGTGCGGCCGCTTCCATTAGTTTACTTCACTCACAAAATCAGCCTTAGCATTCTTTCCATAGTTCCTCCAGATCTCTAAGCAAGTAGGCGGCGCAACCAACCGACAAACGTCCATGGTGTTGCCATTGTTTAACGTGCATCTCCCACTTCTTCAGTCGTATGTGTTTTGTGCTCCGAGCCGAATCCGTTACGGTCTGCGGTGTGCGGTGGGACGCGAATGAGAAAGTACAAGTGCACACGCCCCAAACTCTCGATTCCATTGGTTCCAAGTTCCAATGGTTGACTGGTTGACTGCTGCGCGCTGGCACTCGCCACATACCCAGTGTTGCCAGGTCAAGAAAATGAGATTCACCAGAAGTGAAACTAGTTCTTCAAAAGTCGGCAAAGCATATTCTAAGAACTGCAGGTATAATTTAGTGGTAGGGTTGTTAAGATTTAGAATATCAATAATTTCCGTAGCATCAAGGGATGACTTATTGCTCTAGATCTCTCAATATTGCCGCATTTAAGGACAACCATCTCGTCTGTGATGCATGTAAAAGTTTAAGTTGAGAAAGGTTTGAAATTCTTTAAATACTGACTGTCTTCTATAACTATGATGAAAATAAGAGTAAATATTTCTAATAAAATTTTCTAATGTATTTAGTAGCTTCTTTTACCTTCTATTTTGCAAATTTTAAAATTCACAAACGAAGTGTATGAGTTTAATATGATTAAAATATTATGAACACGTAATCATAGATTATTATCAGATAATGGATAACGCGTTCACGATGAAACAAAATGACGAAAACGAAGAACAAGAAAAATACTATGGTGAATCCCACAACAGTTTAGGGAAATCATCGGAACGGTATCACAGACCTTAGTGATTAGATTGATACGTAACGATACAATACGTGAAACGCGGTACCGGTTCGGAAATTTAGTAATTGTTGGAGTTTTTGGTAGCTGAAAGATTATTAACAATATTCAAAATCGAATGAATCACCGGAAATTGCCATTTTTCATAAAGTTTTTCACCAATTATTTTTCATAAATTCATCAGATCTGGTGAAAATTCAGCAGACCTGGCAGCACTGCACCTGTCTAGCAAGCACTAACGCCAACTTGTGATCGTTCGCGTTCGTTTTCTCAATCGCTGGCTTCGCCATCTCTGTTCACAAACGTAAAAGAAAAGACGCTGATAACGGTACGCGGTACGCCCTCACAGGACAGATTGGGAGTTACCGAGGTATGTTACTGTTTTCGAAAAATCAACTTTTGATTGAAACATAACTAAAAATATTCCAACGGTACAATTTTTCTGATAATGTTTTCCGCTAGGTCAGAATATACCATTGTTTAATGTTTAATATAAGTGAATTTGAATGAAATGAATTATCTCATGCCCTCAATTTCATTGATGACAGCGCCAACGGTGCTAATTTTTCGAAATTTTTGTTGAAATGCCCCCTATGTCTAAATTCTAAACCAAAGATAAACTTGTCGGAAAATGAGTAATGAACTACCAATAGTAGAGAACAAATCAAAAATTAAAAACAAGAAAATGATTGAATTGAAGTTCCGTACATTCGAAATAACCTAAGATGGCGTCAATCGTTCGATTACGAATATTTTGACTAAGTAATGATTTATTTGAAAAATTCATAAACAGATGAAAGCCTGAGAAAAATAAGGTGGATTTCTAATCGGATTTGAAATTTGTGTACTGAAACCATAAATTATGACTATATTTTTTCTAGTCAACTCCATAAATGCTGCACCATGTCCTCGGCAAATTTTTCAGAAGCTCCTACTATAAAACTGGAGGAAAGTACTGAAGATGTTACAGAAATTCAGTCATATTTAGCAGGCTTTCAAAAGGAAATTGGTGATGCTGCAGTACAACAAAGCTCAGGTAAAAATAAATTCCCTTCAATCTCTTGATAAGTATTTATTCCTCTTCTGGAACAACAATATTATCCACTTTCTGTTTGGTCAAATATACTTTAAAATATGATACATCATAATATTTTCCTTCACTTGACACAGTAAAATAGGGATGTGTGTTATTACTGTTTAGTTTTAAATGGATATCATTTACAATTCCTGTTTTGAATCCTTTCTCGCAAATATTAGCTGGAAACGTTTGTAGCTGAGCTACCATACAATTATATTAGTATGTGTTATTCTTACAATATAATTTTATTTTCCATCATCTGAGTCTGTACTTGATGAATCAAAGAATTTTGGTGGTTTCTTTTACATTTGCTATCTCTAGATGAAGATTTTGTCATACTTTTAACTTTTCATGATTACCCATGAGACATGACATCAATAATGTTGTTTAATGATTTTGCATGATGTTCGAATTATATAGAGTGTATTTTATAAAATGCGACCTGACCCAAGTAAGAACCTGACTACGTTTTACCTTAGATGTATTTGGTGTTCCAAAGGTCATGGATCACATGAAAGGGGGTGATAGGGGGTCATTTCCAATGAGAAAAATCATATATGTCCTTATCTGATTGACGATTGTGCACAGTTTTTGACCTTTCATCATATTTAAGAATTTTCAGAACAAGCTATTAGTGAAAAATTAGTCCAGGTAATGTACATTCAGAAATCTTGATATTATGGCCTTCTTCTTATTCTCTTTTAGTCCTTATGGCTTCTGCACATGTGAACAATCTGCCAGCTCATTTGTTGTGACTGCACTTTGTCTGGATTATGGCCATGTATGAGTCACAGTATTGTCTAGAATTCTCATGTTAAAATTCCTGAAAGCTAGAACTAACACTGCTGTATTATATCTAGATCTGGGATGTTGCTATTGAAGTATAATAAAAAGACTGTACTTATGCTTGATAAAATGGTGTGGGGAGGTTAGTCAGACAGATAGCACAACACGGGTATAGACTTTTCTCATACCTGGGCAACATTGGTACATTACACACACTCGAAAAGTTGCCTCGGAAAAGGATGAGTACCCAGGGTTATCAAAGATGGGGATCTGAAACAATTATAATGTTATTTTATTTTTGTGGATGAAGTAGGCTAATACTAGACTTTTAAATTGTTTACAAGGATTATTTAAATGTTGAAGAGGTCATTGAAACCAGTTTTCCTTCATATAGATTATATCCTAGTATTTGATTGATTGGACAATCGAAAAGGATAATTATGATTTAAGTCTGCATATTGACTACAATCACAGAAGTGTCTTCAATTCCTATTTTAAAAATGTGAGCTTTATACCTTCCCTTGCATGTCCTATTCTCATTCTGATTATAGCTTTTAGGTGTCTTTTACTTATGTGAGCGATTTTGGTGTAAAATGGTTTGTCTGAAAATTCTTCTTGGATTTTCTTGTACCACCTACTCATTTCCACATTGTTGTGAACTTGTCCTTGATGTTTACTTTAGCCTTAGTTAGTATGTCTGAGATGGTAAGTGGCGTGTCTTGTTTGATTCTGTGTTGTCTTCCTAGGTGAGCTCATATATTTGTAGTTTCATTTCCTCGAATGTTGGAGTGTCCTTGGATCCAAGCCAGTTCAATGTTGTATCCCTTTTCTGCAGTTTTCTGAATTAACTTTCTTGTTGTGAGACAGCCTTATTCTGAGTTAACATTAATAATAATAATAACTTTTATTCAAATTGCTTTGCGGTTATGAAACGTCAACAGGAAAAGTATACATGTCTTCATTAAAATTAAATAGATAATAAGTAATAAAATAAGACGCAAAAACAGTATGCTTAAATGATGTATAAATAGTTAAATAGAAGAATATAAAAAGTATGTGGCATAAATGTATAATAAGTAAAATAATCAATAAAATAGATAAATATGTAATTATTAAAAGTTATGAAACTCTTGTAGAGAGTAAAAACATTTATGGTACAAGTATCTTAAAAGATGTTTTTTGAAGACTTTTAAGTTGTTGATGGCTTTTAACTCGGAGGGCAAATTATTGAAGATAGATCCACATAGGTAGTCAGGCCTATAACAGTATGTGCTAAGGCCGTAGTTGTTCAATGTAACATTGTTATTATTCCTTAGTTTGTATCTCTGAGACTCTTAGGGAAGTGAATTTGGAAGGATATGATTTTACATGAAGACACGCCTCTAGGATGAGTAATGATGCTAATTTAGTATTTTTTCATTTCTAAATGTTTTTCGACAAGACTCTAGAGGATGCAATGAGAATAAGACACTGACTATTCTTTTTTGAAGGATAAATATTCAATGGGCCACAACAGATGATCCCCAATATAGCACTAAATATTTGAGGTGGGAATATACAATAGAGTAGTAGACATTCAATAGGTGTTTTTTATTCATTATGTATTTAAGTTTCTTAGAGCAAAAAATGCTGAATTCATTTTTTGGCTACATACTCTATGTTGTCTTTCCAGCTCAAATGTTCATCTACTATTAGACCTACAAATTTTATGTTTGGTACTCTTTCCAGTGACTTATTGTTTATTGAAACTGTGATGTTGTTCTGTGTCCTTCCTTTGTGATACAGGATATATTTGGTTTTATCTGTATTAATTAGTAACCTATTTAATACTACCCACTTTTGAAAAATCTGCTCTTATGATGCTAGCTTTACTTTCTAGATCATCTAACAACTTTGCTGATACTGTTATAGTTGTGTCACCAGCAAAGGTAACCAAGAGACAATTATTATCAATTATATACTCGACTAAATCGTTCACAAATAATAAAAACAAATGGTGATCGCACTCCTCTCTGAGGTACTCCAAAGTTTATGCCATGTGGATGAAAGATTAACACCTTGTTTTGCTAATTGTGCTATGGCACTTTGAGAATCTGTTAATATTAGACTTTTTGAAGTTTTCTTCTCAATGACAATGTTTTACGCTTTATTGATCTCTGCTACTTCAGCAATACAGATGTTTAAGGAGTCAGCGAGTCTGGATGTAAAGTTGTATCCCAACTGGAATGTGGACCCCATATCGCACTTTATTGTTAACTTTAGATGCGTCAGTGTAAATGAGGGTGTGGGTATCTCTGAACTTTTCGACGATTTTGAGTTATTGTAACTTGATATTCTGGTCTTTTTTGTTTATGTTCATGGGGACGACTTTCACTGCCCGAGTTTGGGTATTATAATCGAACTCGAAGCACGGGAGTTCTCGGCCCGAGTGGATTTGTGGAGTGTATTCCTCCAAAATTTTAAGGGTAGTGATGGTGGGCGCTCTATTCCTCCTACAGCCTTGACCTAGCTCATAGTGCCTTTTTAGTTTTTTTAATGCTGTGATTAAGGGATGCGATTGAATTCTGGTGGTTTTCGCTAGGAATTTGGTGTATAACCAGATCCGCATGTGGTGTAAGTCCATTTCCGCGGTTTCTGCTAGCAAAGTGTTAGTTGGTGTTGACTTCATGGTACCCGTTATGATCCTAAGCCCTCGATATTACGTCTTCTGGAGTTTGTTAAGGACTTTTTGATTAAAGTGATGTAATGGAATGCTGCTGTGATCCAGAAGTAATTTCACTAGCCCATTAAATGCCATGTTTAGAGCTACAGGGTCGGCACTCCCAGGAAACCTTCCCAAAAAATTTCATAAGTTTTATTCGTTTATTATCTTTAGTTATCATATTGTCTATCTATGAGCTCCATTTTAAATTTTTATGTAGTATGACCCCTAAATATTTAGTTTGACTTTTGAGCTCTATGTTTAAATTGTTAATTTTAAGTATTGGGGGCCGTTCAAGTATTACATAAGCAGATTTATTACAATTATTTACTCCCCCATCCCCCTTGTCAGCAAAAGTAAGCAAAGCTCTTACCCCCTCCCCCCATGCTTACGTAAACATTTGTCAATTGTATTGTTTTTTATACGAGGCGTGTTTTTAAAGTAAGTACCGTTTTTAAATTACGCCGCCGCAGCGCTGCGGTTGCCGTTTAGCGCATGCGCGTCGTATAGCTACATCTGTTGGGAATCCGCAGACGCCATTACAGAACCATCCTATCGAGTCTACATCTGTTTGCGTGATTTTAAAATACCTCCACCGATTGAAAATCTCGCCGACTGCGAAGTGTGTGCTGTAATACGGTTTCTCGGTGCTCAAGGCTTCAAATCAGTTGAAATTCATCACCAAGTCAGTGAAGTGTATGGTGAAAACATTATGAGTGATGGAAGGGTGCAGAAATGGGTTAGGGCCCTTGAAGATGGCCGCACAAACATTCATGATGAGGAACGAAGTGGGAGACCTTCAGACATTACCGATGACCTGATTCAAAAAGTGGACTGTAAAGTGAAAGAGAACAGACGATTCACGATTTCGTCCTTAGCTGAACAGTTTCCTGCTGTCTCAAGAAGTGTTCTTTACGAAATTGTGTCCGAACGTTTAAATTATCGGAAACTGTGTTCACGCTGGGTGCCAAAAATGTGAAGCAGTGGTTGTTTACTCAGGCGGCAAGCTTCTTTGACGATGGCATACAAAAGCTGGTCTCAGGATACGATAAATGCCTCAATCGTAATGGGAATTACGTAGAAAAGTAGAGTAAAAAATGGCCTTTCAAGTGTATAAATTATTTTTGGACAAAATTTAGTTGTTGTTTTTTTTAGGTCAAAACGGTACTTACTTTAAAAACACGCCTCGTATTATAATTATAATTTGAAAAAATAAGAAAATAGATTTAGGATAGAAATTATATTTTACTGATACGGTATTCAACATAGAGTAAAGGACAAAAATATTATATCTTACTAACATAACAAACTTATTTTAAATTTTTGGTACATATATTAAATTCAAATTAAGTCTTCAGTCCATGAAACCCGAATCCATGATTCTAAGTTTTCGATGACATTGGATTGCTTCGATTGCTGCTCAGTGTTGTGGGTTTGCTCACTTTCATCGGATTATGGAATGTCTACGTCGTTCTCATCGAGCCATTCAACATCATAGGTGCTCTAAATTTTGAATAACGCACATCAGTTCATTAGCACGACGAGCAGCGACTCTTACAGGTCTAACTTTCCTATCAGTGCGCGTGTTTACTTTTTTGTGGATATTTTCGACGTGACGATTTAGTGACTTGACGGAAGCATGATAAAGTCCACACGTTTTGCATGTTCGACTTGATAGCCTCAATTTTACCGTCGGACAAAAAGAATCGTAGGGCATTTGCAGGAAATCTTTTAGTGAAGCACTTAAACGTAGAGCTAAATTGACTGGAAGATTAAGAAATTGCCCTCCTTCATCCAAAACCAAGTCATCAACTGTTTGTTTTACTTTTACAGGTGGTGGAAGAAACCTATTGTTTAGTAATCTAAATAGGCCACTTCTTGGACGACAGCATTCTGTATTTTTACATTTTACAATTTGAAGCAAGTATTGGCTCTCACGCACTTGTTCTGAATACCATTTAATGTATGGAAAATCAGGAAGATCTTGTTCACCTGCCCCAACATATTTACTTCAGCTAATACATTTCCTGCAAATTCGAAATTAGATCTTTCTAAATGTTCATCAATTGTAACGCCACGTTCATCCAAATGAGACCCAAAGTGGTCATGAGGCAATATTAAACCAGCCAGTTCCCGACTAAGAGGAGCCATTCTGCGCTCTACTCTGTTATACGCACTTCTTCCAGGAGCATTGGTAGCTAAAAACAATGCATCGAGATCATGTCACTTAAAGTGTTGTATAGCAAACCCTATGACTTTTTGATAACGTGGATTTTCATCTGGCCCTCCATCAACCGTCATGATTACCACTGGCTTTACTAGTCCATGGGCAGTTTTAGCTAATGGTCGAAACACTTCAAGTTCGAGAAGCGTCTCGAAATCCTGAGCATGAGTATTAGCAGTAGATGAACTATGCTTTTCACTCCGAATAGCGATGTATGTTGGTCCCGAATATCCAACGGCTTGCGGTTGTCTTAGCATATTGGAAGTGATTCAGATACCAGCATAAACAGATGGTATTAGTTTATGACGCTCAGCGATTACCCAATCGATTCTATATTCCATGTGCATTAGAAGAGGTGCTTACTTATTTGCCGCAGTTACGCCAATAGGGACTCGAGCTTTATCATCTTGAGATATGAAAAATACTTGATCTGGTCCAAGTGTGGATGCTATGTTCTCTAGATAATGGATTGATGTTTCAGCGAACTTGCTAAGTGGCTCTTGTGGTGATCAGTTTGAGCCCGAATGAGCTTAACAGGGACTGTCGATACATGTCTTCGTCCCTCTGCAGAATTAGATTTTCTGGGAATCAAACGAAGATATGTCCTACTGCGACTAATGTCAAATCCTATTTTACGTAATTCTTGTGGGAGTTCATCAAGAGTTTTTACGCTGCGATTCCGTTCGACTTCTATCATCTGCTGCACTCCCAGATAAAGCTATATCCGCGATTGTTTTCAATAGTGAATGTTGATTGCTTTCAAGATTAGGACGCCCCACTGAATCCCTCAGAGATAGTCTTTAATTTATTTCTGGATTTTCATGACAAATATCTTCTAACTTTCTTTTCATACCATCCCTGTGTTTTTTCTGGGCAACTGCGTTTTGAACCTTCCTGTTTAAAGACTGTTTTTCTCTTTTTATTTCCTCGCGCAACTTAATGATCTGTTCAACAACTTCAGCACGGCTTGGCATAGTATCTCTGGCAGAATACAAAGCATTCAGATTTTTTTCGAGTAGAGCAATCTTATTTTTCATAGCTTCCTGAGAAGGTTTTGCTCTCTGTTTATCTGTATTTTCATTAATTTCGCATTGCTGTTGTAATTCATTACCGGGTTTAATTTTATCGTCTTCCTCTTTTTTAATATTTGAAGCTGACTTTATAATTTGTTTTTTTTTCTGCAGGTTTACAGGTTGCCTAAAAATAAAAACTTTCTATGGCTTCTGCTAAAGATTCTCTTATTAAGCTACATAAATACAAAGTATGGTAATATATATGGGGTGTTAGTTTTCTGTATATATGTATAAAACTAACATCCTGTACTTTGTGACCAATTGACGGAATCAATCATAAGAAATAAATCTATAATATAATGAACATTACCTCTATACTTTGCGATAGGCCATAATATTTTCTAATCAGTAAAGAGAAACTTTTTGGCGATTTCTAATATTTCTAGTACTCGTAGGTACCTAAAATGATTTCGTCACTCACCTTAGAAAAAAATTTAGTAGATTGGATTTATTCTTAGTCGCCGCTTGCAATTCTTCTTCGATTCCTTAGATACAATAATATCTAGTTCCTTGTCGGATTTTGCTTGTAGTTTGTAATTTCGCCACACTTCGTTAACTAACTTTTGTACATTCTGTACTTTCAAAAACAGTTTTTGGTATAACTTGGATTTGTCTATGTGAAGCGACATCTTATTTAAACATTTAACTTTTGCTAATGGAATCAATGGTAACACAAATGTTAACTTGCCTTACTATGCTTACAATACGTCTACTCGCTATAGTATCCAAACGAAACAATACTCTGATAGAGGAAAGTTAGACAAGTGAACACTGCGCGGTTCTAAAGCGAGTAGTGGGAATTACCGCGCGCTGTTCACTAAACGTATGCATTATTTACGTTATTTTCAAAACTTGATAGATGTTGCTTTGGAATGAGTGTGATTTGGATGTTATCCTACCAAACAACTAGTAAATCTGTAGAGAATATTCACACTTGAGGACAACCGACTTAGAGCAATTTTGATTTTGTTATGTTGCTTTTCCAATTTTTCGCAGTTCAGCAAATATGCATAGGCGACGCTAAGTTGATTGACATCAGCTTTTTTGTTCATGCAATTGTTTATCATGAAGATATGTGACATTCCCAGAAACAGGCGTTTTGATAGATAATTTTCTCTGTCCAGCACCTTGATATCATTGTATCTCATTTGATGACCTGTAGAGTTGACGTGTGAAGCTAGAGCATATCTTTCTGGATGCATTCGGGCATCACTTTTATGTGAGGTTATTCTACCTTTATGGAGGAGACAATGTTGGATAGGAAAAGCAGAGGAACTCGTATCTTTCATTTTGGACAAAACATTGTTGATTGTGAGTGAGGATTTGTAAGGAATGCGGCAATTTAAAGTGTTGCACAATCTAGAAAGTTTTGGTGTTAGATCTTTCATGTATGGCAGTATTGCATAGCTAATTCTGGAAATAGATTAAATATCTGTATTATTAGGATGATTATCATTGTTATTGCTGGAGAGGTTGGGATTGTTGGTATCATTATTCTGTGAAAGTGGTATATTCGTCGACTATGTGTTCCCTTCACTGTTGTTTAAAAACAATGTCAGCAACAATCTCGCCGACTTAGTAAGTAACTATTTTTCCTCCTAATTGTTAATTGTTGCTATTGTCAATAATTGTTTCCAGCTCCAGACGATGAAGACATAGATCTTTGAAAGCTCGAGTTTAAGTTATAAGAGTGTGCTTTTGCAATACTTTGCCTTCTACCCAAAGAAATTCAAGGATATTTTCTCCTAACAGTTAAGGCAATTAACTATGAATTATATATGAAAGTGGATTCGAGCAGAAAATAGGATAGGTAACCCGAGCGATACGTATTTCTGCTGGTTGGCTTCATTAGGCCCGAAATGAATGCACATATGCAACTACAAAAGTAGATACACATACCCACACACCCGGATACGGCTGTAACCTGAGGAAACAAAGGTGGAGAGGGAAAAAACCGTTACACACGAAGTACAAAACAAGAGCTAACCCACATCGTAGTATAAAATGACTAGAAGACCTCGAATTTTCAAGCCCAAAGGATCTACAAAAAGAAAATGATAATGCGGAGAAAGGTATATAACAAAAAGGAAAGTGGATTCGATCAGAAAATAGGATAGGTAACTCGAGCGATACGTATTTCTGCTAGTTGCCTTCATCAGGCCCGAAATGAATGCACATACAAAAGTAGATACACATGCCCACACATCCGGATACGGGTGTAACCTGAGGAAACGCAGATTGAGATGGAAAAAACGACACACTAAGTCCACAAGAGCCATCCTACACATTGTAGTATAAAATCTAACCACAACCACGTGGCCAGTTATAGCCACTTGCTGTGGTACTTCAAGCCCAAAGGATCTAAAAAAAGAAAATGATCATGCGGAGAAAGGTATATAACAAAAAGTAGGATAATAATGGGCAAAATCCGCAAAAATGAGGAAAGTGGATTCCCTTTCTAGAACTTCGTAATTCCTTCGACATGTTGACTGAACGAAAACAGTGCATTTACTATGTAATAGCACAAACGAGCACTGCAATACGTTAGCTAACGCGCGCCTAATGTGCAAGTTTTGACAAGTTCCAACGGCATGGGCTGCTCTGGTTCTAGGTACATAAAACTTTATTTACAATTATTTTGACATTGTTCAAGCAAAATTAGAGGGCGCGTTTGAAAAAAAGATCTTGGGGACACAGTAGTTTTTCTAGTCTTCAGTGGGAAAGGTACAACATTGCCACGTGGTCGGTAACTACCAGTAGGACAGGGAAAGAGTGTCTATAGACTAATTGTTCGAGCCTGTTTGACTGACTTAATACGTTTAATTTCTCTGATGTAGAGGATTTAGGTTGCGCTGAACTTAATCCTTTATGAACTGATGACGGTGTTAGGAAGTGCAAAGTCAACCCACTTGAGGCCATTTTTTCTGCCACATTCAGCTCATTTCCAACCTTTTTCGTTTGTCTCACATCGATGCACCTATGCCCTGTTTATTTATTGTTTGTGTCTCACATTGACGCACCTATGCCTTGTTTATTTATTGTTTGCTTCAATTCCCTGACCGTATTAGCATAGGAATTTTCTTCCAGGTTTGTTTTATAATAAGGGTGTCCTTGTTCCGCCCAACCCTTTGGTTTTCCCTTTTTCGATCGCGTTTTCAGCGTGTCTCGTCATCGCCTGCACTCCCTGAAAATCACGATACACTTGTATATACCTTCCGAGGTATTCTACATATATTCGCAGTAATTTGAGGTTCTTGAAACCAAGCGGGTTGATTAAGAGTATCTCAACTTGCTACTTTTAAGCTGCTGTTAGCTAGCTGCTCATTGTCTTCGGCGACTTGATAGCTATAGCTATCTTTTTACTCACCTCGTTAAGGTCGTCGCTGTCTACGTCCGAAACAACTCTACTGTTTGTATTCACGGCGTATTTGATCTGCTCTTCTTAACCCTTTAGAGCATCTTCTACCTCGATATGTCAAGTTGCTAACACTTTGTCGATCCACTTCCGTGTCATTTACTAGTATTAGCGTAGTGGTATCTTTCACGGGAACATTATGTGCTCTGATGATTTTCAAAATACTGTTACATTTGGGAAATACATACTCCCAAACAACGCCACTGGAAATCAGCTTATCTTTTAACTTTTGAACAACACTGCATAATCCAACAAAATCTTAACATAGACCAGGTGTCCACAGAAAAGAAATCATTAGATTGCCAGGGACGAATTAATTCAAACACAGTACTACTATGTTTTTAGACCCTATATAATAATGACACAAGGTAATTTTTAAATAGCATACTCGTTTATGCGTAAAGTGTATTCTTAATTTTGAGATCACCAACGGATTTTGAGAAAAACAGTTTGCAGTCTTAAATAAATCGCCAAAAGCCGGAAACTTCCTAGTCATCTGAAAATTCATACAAGGTCTGTCGCAAAGTAAACAGGACTTTTGAGAGATATCCGATGCAAGTAGCGCTATCTATTTTTGACAGACTAGCGTTGGATAGGTACGTCTTTCATTCATGCCCTGTCAAAGTTTTATGACAATCGAACCACTTCACGCGGAATTATCGCGCTCAAAGTGACAGTGCCTTTTTAGCATCGGTCGAAAAATGAGCATCGAATAAAGAGCAAAATATTAAGTTCTGTGTTAAACTTAGTAAAACATCTACTGGAAGACGACTAACATGTTGGCAAGGCAAAATTTGTGATTACGCTAGAAACCGTCAAAAAAGTGCGTGAATTTATCAAAAACGATCCAAAATCATCATTGAGATACACAGAAATTGAATTAAATATCTCTAAAGACTCAATCCATTGCAATTTGACCAAGAATTTGGGCATGAGAAATGTGTGTTCATGGTTTGTTCCGCACAAGCTCACGGATGACCAAAAATTGATTCGAATTCACATTCGAGAGACATCATTAAAGGGGCCAAAAAGGACAAAAATATTTTGTACAACATTGTGACTGGTGACTAAACGTGGTGTTTTCAATACGCTCCCTGAACCAAGGGTCAAAGTGCCGAATGGAAGTACCCAAGTGAGCCAAGTCCGAAAAAAGCCGTTTTTGGAAGTCCAAAGTGAAGATAATGTTGATTTGTTTATTTTACAATTCGTTTCACCGGGCCAAACAGTTATTGCTGTGGTTTATCTTGGTGTTATGAGGCGTTTGCTGTCGCATATTCGTTGTGTTTGGCCAGAATATCGCGAAGACGAAAACTCTGCTGGCTCTTGGTGCAGGATAATGCACCATCTCATCGATCAACACTTTTTTTGACAAAAATGCCATTTTAGCTATTAACCACTCCCCATATTCTCCTGATATGGCGCCGTGTGACTATTTTCTAAACTACATTAGGTCATAAAGGGACAGCGGTATGCCAAAAGGCATCGACGATCATTTTGAACGACATCCTGGTCAATGAGCTAAAATCGAAAATCTGTTGGTCCATGCAAATTGCTGTGTTAGCTCTGGAGACTATTTTGAATAAAATAAATTCGATTCTCCGACACAACAAATGTGTGATTATTTTTTTCTTTGTCCTGTTGCCGGGGGAGGGTTCGGAGTCACTGATTAGGAATCTGTTATGTGAGTATATTTTCAAAATGGCGGATTATGCAGTATCGTAAAACAGTATTGATAGGAGACTATATTATATATATATATTAAATCACTCGTTTTATGGAAAACAAACAAGAATATATTTCTCAGAATATAAATCTAACTTTTCAAAATATGTATTACTATAGACATAGAGGATGTAAAAATTAGCAATATTGCCAAGATTCGTCCCTCCCTGGTGATCTAAATAAGTTAATTGTTCTCTGTGCACACCATCATGTGAGGTTTTAACCAAGTGGTCAATAACTGCTATACTGTAAAATTTTTGTTAGATAATACAGTTTAATTCAAAAGTTATTGACAAAAAATCGATTTCCAGTGACATTCTTCAGGGGCCAGTATGTGTCTATTTCGAAAATGAATTAGTATTATCGTCGCAAATTGAGTTTTAAGGGCTAATGTTCAGAAATATAAGGCATGTGTAATATGTCTAATAGCTGTGTAGAATTACTCGTACCAATGTTGGGAGCGTATAAATATAGAATAAAAAAATTGAGATAAACCCTACCCAAATACTTTCCCGTCAGTACTTCATACGCAACGCTGTCAGTTCATAAAGGATTATATTCGGCACAAGTTAGTCCCTCTTAGAAAAGTTGGTTACAAACAACACAGGAAAGCTCTACGATTAGTTCATAGTCTCCACGGATTTGACAACATCTAGCCAACCAACCAACCTATCAACATCCGACTACCTAACAACTTGGAAATGCAGCATAGTGGATATATACACGTATCATTGCTCGGTAAATCAGTAATCAGTTATCCCTCCGCATTCGAGGCGGATAGACGTACGCTCGTTGAGTGGTCCGGCCCGCGTATATTGAAGATATATCTCCATCATTCAAGTTTTATATGCAAATGTACGCGGAAATCTATGATGTACGAAATATGACAAATAGGTGCGTATAATTACCAGGGTTGGAGACATGAATTTGCATTGGCATAGTAGTAATCTTGTGTGAAAGTATCATCAAAATCCGAGCAGTACTTTTTAAGTTATAGACGGGCCAAAGATTAGCGACAGATAGACAAACAGATCGACGGAAATGGACATGGTTTTTGTATATGTCATATAACATTCAAAAACATCTCATTTTCGAAATTTTGCAAGATCACAATACTTTCTCGCCAGGTTTTCTTATCAATAATAATACCTGAAATTTTGTCAGTGGATGCTTAAAAAATATTTAGGAAGTTCGACAACATTAAAGTTTTCCGGGGTCGACAGTGACATATGTTGCCCTTTTTCAAATATTTTGTCGCTTATATCTCGAAAACCATCAACTTTAGAGAAACGTTCTGAAGCGCGCCTTTTTTATTCAGCATATATTGAAAAAACTGGAAATACTTTGAAGAGAACCGTCTTTTGGAATCCGTTAAAAAAAATTGTCATACATATTCGTTAAAATGGGCCCTTTTTGAATAAGATTTTTCTCATCAGATGCGAAGATACTACTACTAGGCAGCAGCGGTGGCGTAGTGGAAGACGCTACGGTCTCCTAAGCAGTCGCCGTGCGCTGCGAGGGTTCGAATCCCGTCCCAAGAAAAAATTTTCTCTT